GAGGTTTTAAAGCATGTATATGCTAATTAATATTATTGCGCTTGTGAATTTGGAAATGTGGTTATTATTTATTGGGAAACGTTTATAATTATTGAGAGTTCATCTCAACAAATTTCAGATATGTCATACTTACCGGAATGGCTGTCAAAATATATCACTGCAAACGTTCTCAGTGCCTCTCTGCACCTATTGTCAAAATGGCGGACGCTACAGAGAGGTCCCTGGCAAACACTGATTATCACGTGATCAAATACTTCAAAATTCATAGAGTATTTGATCATGTGCATATCTATTTAAAGATGCTAATTCGCAACGGAAACTAAAGGTTTTTAATTAGACAACTGACGTGAATTTGAAGCAGTATTATTGCCTTTTGATCAATAAAATGGACATCAAACTCTTCAGAAAATTTGACGTATTACAATCAAAATAACGGTTATACAAATCTGGTCGAACAAACCATGATTGGTAGGCGAATATTGGTTTAAATAAGACAAAGGCAAGCAATATAAGAATGGTGCGTCTTTATCAGTCAATCGCAACGCGCATTATTTCAGTGTTTGTCAGGGTCTTCTCTGTAGCGTCCGCCATTTTGAAAATAGTTACAGAGAGAGGGCACTGGAACGATGTTGCTGTAAAATCACTTGCTGTAATTGTTCAATATAAGTTTAATAGCTTTAAATATCTGTCTTTTATAGTTTATTAAACTTCGTTACTAAACTATCACTTAACCATGATTACAGATCTTGGCAATGGATGGCGTCGCTATGGTGACGCTGCTATCAAGCTATTTTCAGAGAAGAAGAACTGGACCGATGCTCGTCACCATTGTCAGTCGTTAGGTGCTGATCTTCTCTCCATTACAAGCTCACACGAAAACAACTTTGTGAATGAAGTCTTTGTGAAGCAGCTGAACTTGTCATACTTCAGAGAAGGTAAGAAATAAAAGTATTCACTTAAGTGATAAAAACACTTATACGTGCTAAGAAAGGTGAAATCATCGATGTAACATTAACTGTTACCCCCGGGGGAGGGGGACTCCTTTATAAAAATGGGCGGTGGTCCTCGTCGGCAATTCTAAAAATGAACCCTAAARTGGAGGCGTATTGTGAGATGATGGGCGTTACAGTGCTGAAATCTCACCCCTAAGAGGGACCAATCAATAAACGGTCATTTTGTTTTGGWTTCCCGATTTTATTTGTGTTTTTGCACAAACATCAAACGCCGTTGGCTCGTATTGAGTTTTTGAGGACGTTGTCATATACAAATATATGAAGACGGCTTAGGATCGTCGTATACCCTAAAAGGGACCACAGAACTTTGTTGGTGGGAATTCTCGTCATTTTARCCCTAAGCGRGACCAAACCATTGATTTCAAACCCTAAAAGGGACRACGTTGACCCCCGCCCTTTTATATTCAGGAATCCCCCYCGGAACTGTTACACGGGAAGCCTATTGAAGAACACCTTGTTTTATAAAGTACGCATTTTTTTAAATATTCTATTCTTTGCACATAATATGGTTTTCTGTTTTTTGACAGATTATCCAGATTTTGGGACGCCATCTGAAGTCTGGAAGCTGAACCAATCCGTTCCAACTGTAAAGTAAGAACTGATTCGTTTCGCTACTTTGAACTGTTGGTTTTCCTGCGCACGACCCTCACTGGTTTTTATCTATTTCACTTGTAGCTTCATTGATTGAAACTCTTATTAAAAAAAGAGGAATATTTTACCAGTTATAGGCTTGACCGACTGAATAGACTAATCCAAATGGCCTAATAGCTCATTATTATGTAATAGTTATTTTAAGGATGTGAGAAAAAGTATCTATTATTAGGCGCTCAACGGTCATCTATCATTGCGTCAATGGAAAGCGTGGTTGCTGAGGGAAAAAAATTGAAAATTACATAGTACATTCTTTTTTTTTTTTTTTAATCATCTTGCAGACTGTTCGGACCACCTGACAATGTGCTGTACAAAGCCGTTAATGGAGAGACTGCTTTGTATTTTAGTGGTAAAGAGGGATATGCAACTATTCCTGCAGTCAATATCAGTTCAGAGGGATTTACCATTTCATATTGGATGAGACCCTTCCATGACAATAGAGAGGGAGTATGGATACACATTCTTCGTCTTCTAAACCAGCCTCTTTCATTGAAAACTCCAGCTAAAATTGTGGATTGCTTCTATCGTAGTGGACTTCTTTCTACAC